GAGAAATCGATCTCACGAAGGCATATCTCGTTATGGCATAGTCGCCCCGAGTGACGGAATCGATCTCACGAAGGCATATCTCGTTATGGCATAGTCGCCCCGAGTGACGAAATCGATCTCACGAAGGCATATCTCGTTATGGCATAGTCGCCCCGAGTGACGAAATCGATCTCACGAAGGCATATCTCGTTATGGCATAGTCGCCCCGGATGACGAAATCGATCTCACGAAGGCATATCTCGTAATGGCATAGCTGGCCCGAATAGAGGAATCGATCGCACGAGAGCGTATCGTGTACTGGCGTAGTTGCCCCGAATGGAGGAGTCGTTTCACGGAGGCGTACCTCGCGATATCATAGTCGCATCGACCTCACCGAGTACATGCTCCATTTCCACTTGATTACTACTCCAACAGTAGTCTCCCATCGATGGAGTTGTTGAACTTATATCGTAAGCAGCGATATGCTATATTTTTCTACGCTAGAGTAAGTAGCGTTGTGGAAGAAATTCTGTTTAGACGACATTTCCTCATTTTGTGCTGACATTCGATCAGTCTTTTCAGCTTAGCTTCCAGTATTGTCGATTCCGCGACGGTGGTTGACGAGCTCGCCAAACAACTCATCGAAGAGGGTACAGTATATAACGGTATAGTTAGTGTTCTGTCCGGTCGGTGCGACAAGGAAAAATATGGCGTTCGGGAACGCGAACTCCTCCACCTTAGGGCGATAGAGGTCCTCAGATGAACACATTCCATTGGCCTCAATTGGGCGCTATACAGCTGATTTAGTAGGATGAACCGTAAATTATCGACTGGACTACCTCGCAACGGTCGACTTCCACACGGTCTAGAGTGTCCCGACTGCATTTTCGACGCAACAGGTTAACATCGGTGAGTTAGATGGTCGTTTAGTATCTCGCTGATTTGAGGAGCGCAAACTTCAGGATGTCGAAACTCGCGAACCGGAGCCCCATGGAAACCGGATCGTGATGCGTCTGTCTGACGACCGTCCACTATTCGATATCTCATAAAAGAGAAAGTAAATTTGGAGAACCCGGGCATCAATCCCGGTGCCTCACGCTTGCTGAGCGAGCGCTCTACCGTTTGAGCTGGTGACCCCATAAATATGAACTATATTCGCAAGCAGACAAGTAACTCCATCTTCCTGCACGAGCACATGATAAACCTACTCAGTTGAAGCTTAACAGTAGTCGGATATCATAATCACGCAGAGCGATTCACTGTAGACCTCCGGCTGCAGCCAATCCTGACGACCACCAACGTCTCTTCAGGACTAACCGTAAATACCATACCCCATACGCTACTTTTTCAACCTCAAACTCGGCCAATAAGAGGAAAAGATAGATTTTCGTAGAATGAAAGGCGTTTCCCACAGAGTGAAAGTTCGACTTTCGTTGACTGTTCGTCATCAATGAACTAAAATTCATAAATGATGTTCATGAATTCGTAAACAAGAGTTCAAATTCACCAAACATAAGACAAATTCCGACCAACGAAAGCTCAATGGTACCCCTTTAGTCCTAGTAGAACCCCAGAGGCCCACTCCACTGCTATTCGATGCCGTACTGCCTCCTTATAGAGCCAAACAGTATTGACCCTCCACCAGAGAGGCAACCTCCGCCACCACTCGGGGCACTTCCCCCAAAGAGACCCCCTCCCGAGCTCTGGACCCTCTTCCAAACACGATAGTTCAGCCCGTGGAAGCGCCAAACAACGCCATGCTGCGCGCGTAAGCATCCCCATTCCACTATAAACTCAACACCTCTAGACACTCCAGAAAGCAATCTATGTGAGGAAGTAGAAACGTTGTAGAGGCTGCAAGCGCAGTACCAATGATGCTAGTATACAGCTACGAATACGTATCGCCTAGTCCGAGTCCGAATCCGAATCTGGGAAGGGAATCGAGTTAATGCCAGTCTCCAAAGCTCCTCCACCACGCCAGGAGGACCGCTTCTTCTTAGCCATTTCCTTACGGAAGTCTACAAAGACAAACACCATCATTCGCCATAGCCCATCCAGGATGCTTCTACCTTTCCCACGAACCTTGATGAGATCCGCCGCAGCCTTGTCACCCCACGTGTCACCAGCGCCATGACCAAACCTATCTCACCTTCCAGACCAACTACTGCTACCTTCTACATTACCTCTTCTTCGCCTCATGCGTGTTGTCCTTTCGAGAGGTGGTGAGATGTCCGATGTACCTGCCAACTACACAGTCCAACTCCATATGCACCCAGCCCTTACTTGGACTCATCGATCCTCCTCCAATGATCGCCATGCTTTTTCCTATTCTCGGATGTAGCACCAGATTCCTCAGCACTACTCCCTTGCCACCAATCAGAATCTTCACCCCAACCCCATTGCTCCGAGCTCTCGGGGGTAGTAGCCGTCTCCTTCTCCTCCTCCAAGCTGGCTTGTACCGGTTCATCTGACAGACCAGCGCTGCAAGATAGTATACTCTCATCCACTACCCTTCTCCTCCTCTACAGGGACCTCCTCGGCCTTCTTCGATTCTGACAGCACCACAGTACACAGTTAAGAGCCACGAGATCCTCCTTACTCTTGAAAGGCTTCTTGGCTACCACAACCTCCTCCTCCTCCTCTTCCTCAACAGGTTGTGCCTTCTCTAAAGACAAGCGAACAAGGATTAACAGTCACCAATGAGCAAACAGGAACATTACTCTTGGAGTGCTTCTTCTTTTTCTCCTTTGGAGCTGCAGCTTCCTCCTCTTCCTCCCCTAAAGCCTTGCGATGCTCTAAGAACAGGCACATACCAGCATGCTCCTCCCCGCTATCTTATCGTTAATACTCTTGGTGTGCTTCTTCTTTTTGGGTGCCTCCTCTTCCTCAACAGCCTTCTCCTCCTTCTCTTCCTCGACATTCTTGAGATGCTCTGATCGAGGCGAAAATGAACCCAACGAAGCCGGGATGTCTACTCATAGTACTCTTAGAGTGTTTCTTCTTCTTAGGCATCTCCTCCTCCTCTACCTCAACGGCTTCCTCCTCCTTCTCCTCGACAACCTCATGCTCTAAAAACTCAATAAGTCCATCATCGCTCTCTGGCCACTACACTACTCTTAGAATGTTTCTTCTTTTTCTTCTTCTTCTCTGGTTCCGCCGAGTCCTCTACAGGGACTGCGAGAGCAAGACTCTCCCCCGGTCCACCTATACGCCCTACACTACCAACAGCAGCAGCCTCCTCGGCATCCTCTTGCTGGTGGCGATTCTCTGAAGAAAGAGCAGACGCAGCATCCCCCAGTGCCACATAGAGGCCATCACGAAGAGATTAATCCCGAATCGTTTCCCAAGCTACTCTTAGAATGCTTCTTTTTGCTCTTCTTCTCAATTGTGACCTCTGAGAAATAAATCGGGCATCACGATTACGCAAAATCCAATTCCTAATCACCTTCAACAGCCTCTACCTCTTCCTCAGGCTCATCCGTCTTCCTCTCTGAATAATAAAGCAACTGTAAAAACGATGGATGAGAACCCCGTACTACTTTTTGAATGTTTATTCTTCTTCTTTTTGGCAGGCTCCAAGGACTCGACGAGCTCCTCCTCCTCCTCACCTACACACAAGACACCTTTCACAACAGTCGAATTTTACCGCGAACCGGTCAGTGCGAGATGGACGACAGCACAGCAGTTAGGTGAATGTTATTACCCTCGATAGGCGCGGGTTCGATCTCTTCGGCCTTGCGCTCTGAAAGAGGTAGCAATAGTGTAGGGGAGGAGAGGCGCTTCTTCTCACTTTTGGAGTGTTTCTTCTTCTTCTTTTTCTTTAACTCAACATCCTCCTCCTCGACGACGACTGCGAGGGACGAGAAGCGAGCCATAGAAGATGGCGGATAAAAGTTGACTATTTTACGGTAATGCCAATCAGGAAGGGCCTCCTTGTAAGAGAAATTTGCGACAAGTGCAGTTGCGCATCATGTGGCAAGGGGGCAGCTGCATCGATCGGTAGCCGCGGACAGGCGGGAGGGTCTATCTCACTACTGGTTTACACCTATTCTGTTGTTAGTATGTAGCGCGAGGAGGTAGAAAAAATGGAGCCACCGGGGATCGAACCCGCGAGAAAAACGTGACTTGGAAGTTCCATACGTGCTGCTGCCGTAAGCGCTTCTTTGGACACATCAGCTTTCTTGTCCAAAGTTAAATGCTTGACAAGGTGTCCATTACTCAACCCATGGGCTATGTTTCGACAACTTGAAACGTAGTGGCGCTCGCCCGAAAATGTACAAATTGGACAAGAAATGTCGAAAGCAACACCATGGGTGATCTTTGGACAGGTTTTTTGGACAACAAATACGTGTCGACATGTCCAGAAGGACATCCAGCCTCTTTTGGACAACATCTTGTCCAAGTGATGTCCAAAGGTGGATTTGTCTGCATTTCCCTCGAAAACTTGTCCAAAGCTTGTCGTTGGCACTTTTGGACAGTTGATGATGAGTTGATAACGCTATCTTGCAATCTCGAAGCTTTCACACTTAGCGATATTAGCATAGATGACAAATGGCACCCAATTACGTTTGGATCAGTGATCCAGGATCACATTGATTGCAAAGGTTCAACAGTTTATCTTCAAACGCATATGTTGCATATGTCTTTCGGTCCCGTACCTTGCAATTATAAGCAAATTGTTTGATACAACACTACATATAAAGGCACGCACGTTTGGGCGAACATGTTTACTCATCACACACGCATGTAAATCAGATTTACTAGATCTCATTGAACATTTAGGAGTCATAACCTTTCGAGGCAACTGGGGACGGATTTAACGTGCGAATGTTTAACGGCTATACGTCATTCAATATTTCTCATTAGATTCAGTGGAATGATCGTTTGGAGAAGTCTGGCGGTTAGGGATAGTTTCTTCGTGGCACTTCTCCTGATTCGGAAGTCTCGAGACCTCTTCCGCCCTAGACCAATCACATCATGTACTGAACTCACTCGGATTATCCGAGTCGGATATCTGGTAGACTCGGGATTCTCGGGATTAACATGCGAGTTCATACACGTGATATAAGTATACAACACGAGCTCTTTAAGTCAGTCATTGGCTATGATCCATAGCTGAGCATAGTTGGTGAAGCGTGTACACACCGATTTTTTACACCGTCTGTCTCCGCGATATTTTGAGCGTTGAGGTTGGCATAGATTTCTGTGTTGAGTTTAGTGTGATATACACTTCCGGTGCGAAATGGCAGTCGACTATTGGTCCGCACCTGATTCTAGTAGAATAATTCCACGTTGCACTTGTATTGTGTTCGATAATAACATTGTTAGATCGTGAGTATTGAAACACAACATGATAAGGGCATTTAAAACGGTATATCTGATTATAGCCTGGTATATCTGGTTATTTTCCTACTGGGAACGGGAATGGGAGTTTGATAATCTCACGGATAATCTCACTAATCTCTCCATAAGTTAGCGAGTAATGTATAAACTCAACTCATAACGATCAGGAAAAGGATTGATTACGGCTGATGAAAATTGATAATACTGATGTAAACTGATTGCATTACAGACTTTGTTATTGGATAGGAGTTCTACCTCCAAATACCTCGAGTACAATAAATAACATAAAATACTTCGGAATGCTACGAATACTTACAGCTTCGCAACGAGTCGAAATAATAGACATGCCGTGTTAGAGCAGCTGATACGACAAATGACTATTGAAGTTTCGATCCTTCTATTTCAAAATACTTCACATAGAATGATCGTCCGCTATCATCACGGTTCTCACTTAGCTCTTCATCTCCTATCCCATACCGAGAGTCTACCACTAAACCATGCTTAGATCCGGCCGGAATATATAAACAAGTACTAGCCTCGAACAAGTGCACAGAATTTACAGCGAACTCTTTCGGAGCCATGGTCAACGAGTCGCTAGATACTGCGATCAAAGCAGTTGGTAGCGGTCTATCGCGCTCAATCCGAGCAGTAACAAATCGGATACCGGCAGCGGCAGCATCACTTCGATAGTCGTAGAATGCAACGCGTTCACCCCCATGAAGAATATGCAAATCGCGATCCAGTGCGAGCAAAAAATCAACGGCAGCACACTGTTCTCCAGTAGATCTCCAAAGTGAGGAAATAGCCGCAGCACCTGCAGCACTAGCAAGCTGGGCTTCATCTCCGACTACTCCAATACATCTTTGATACTTCTGAAATAAGCTTTGATGTGTATCAGTAAAAGATATATTTCCCACCAAAAGAAATTTAAGTGTTGGAACGACCACTTGATAAACATCAATAGGCCCCATAATAGCCTTGCGGGCTCTACATGACAGACAATACCAAGGATCGTCGCTAATGGCAGCGCCGTTTTGAACACCACTACATAAACAGTGATACCATTTTCGACACCCATCACATTGAATCATAGCCCCACGGACTGCATCTAGATCATCGCCAGGTAAAAGACAAATAGCACAATCAACTTCATCCACGCTCTCACATGGTAGGAAATGCCGGTACACTATCCTTACTGCAGTCTCAGCCATAATGCAAAAACAACACCGACTAAAAGATTCCCTCTCTCCCTCACTCGAAGCCGATTTCGGCTAGGCGGCCAGCCAATGCTTCGCACACATCAGCGGCTTTTGAGGTCTTCGATAGTCGGCGAGGGTGACCAGTCCATCTCCGCTGTTTTTTGGTTTTTTTGGTTTTTTTAACATCGCCATCTCATCTTATCAGCTGAGCTGATTCAGCTCTCGTGTCGCAAAAATAAGAAGATTAATAGCCTCATCGAAAGCTAATACTATTAAGGAGCTATCAGGGATTACATTGTCAGATAAATTTTAAACATTTATGGGCGAGCGCATTCGAGACAGATGTCCAAAGGTAATCGGTGCCACATTCCGACACATTGTAGTCCAGATTACTAAATGTTGTCCAAACATGTCCAATTGATCAAAAAGCTGTCCAAAGGTCGTTACAGGCGTAATTGGACAACTTCTTGATGAAAAAAAAATATTCGACAACTTCATGTCCAAACTACTCCCAAGGGTAGTTTTTGGACAAACTGTCCAAAACTTAGTCATGAGATTCGTTTTGACATCCCTTGCTGTCCAAAGGGCTTTCGACAACTTTATGTCCAAAGTTGATGTGTCCAAAGGTCACGCAATCGCTGCTGCTGCTGCGAGGCCACGGATTATAGCGTATAAACGACAGTCAGGCACAAGGAATCGTCTTCGTCGAGTGTATCTATTTTATTATATAGGCTACGGCCTAATGGCTGCTACCGTCACGAGGGTGCTCATACTGAGAGGCTTCCTGAGTCGAGTAAGACATTATCTCTCCGTCTGTCGTTGTTGGCTACTGCTGGCTGTATCCACTCATGCCTTGGACTTTTAATAGCGCCTTCTCTTTCGGGTGTCTGCCTCGACAAGGTATTAATACTACACGACGAGTATTAATATTATTGTTAGTTCTCTGTAGCGCTGATTCATAGCCTACACAGATTTTAGTAGGCGCACCTTTTCTGTGTCCTACCTGAAGAGTTGACAAGAAGGATCGACGTTAACAGCAAGGGGAAGCGCCAACAGAAGTAGCTCATGGTACCGTTGAATGGTTCATGCTAGTGAATTTGTCCTCTGGCTGTATGACGACCTGTTGTGTTCAGTCTCCACTGTAGAAACTCTACAGTTAATAGAATGTCTGTACGGTATATCTTCTCGTTAGCGCATAATAGTATTTTCACGACTGACTTGGGCATGCTTGTATGAAATTATGAGAAACAAGTGAACAATACAAATAATAACATAATTTTCAACATATGAGTGGACAATGCCAAAACCTGACCGTTCAGTAAAGCAGCCCATTCTGGAGTATATTCCTCTACTGTCTGCTATCTCCTCGATAGAAGTGGAGGGACACAATCAAGCGTGATTTGACGACATCATAACTTGTTATAGTGCGGGGGGCATTCGTATTCTGCAGCTGTTTAGTGCCGTTGATGTCATCGTCATCGCAAACGGCAGTGATGGGCCCTTCGAATGGTAGCGTTGGGATAGACTTTATATTTGGGTATAGTACTGTGCCCAAGATAAGGAAGAGGCAGAGCAAGGTGTGACACCACGCAGTGTCACCGTCACTTGTGACTCGCAGCATCAGGCCTGTCTTTTCTGGCTGGGGCCATCGAGGGATGAGCGGGGCCGGAGGCAGAGAGGAGGACGCAATGGCAGCTTACTTTCAGTGAAGCTCAATGATAGAATCATACAACTGGTAATACTACCTATGCGGGGGAGGGGTGTATGACGAGTCGGGTTACTGCGTTATTGGAAAATGTAAACTCCCATGTGATACAAGGAGTTGAATTTAGGGTATGAGTCATTCGATATTCAAGTTTGCCAACTGTTATGGTCAGTGTATGGTTTTCTGTATAACCCTTATGGTTTCTCCTTGTATGTAGATAGGCCCCCTATCAACGACAGTGGTTAGCCTACAGGCTGTGGTATCGGCTCCAGCCCCACTGGCTGTGGCCTGCATACCAATAATCATACCATTAACGATTGAAGTGGACCGCATGGGATTCCCATTGACGTGAGCCTCGCGAACGCCTTCACAGCTGAGATCTTGTCTTCACACAGGGATGCGGGTAAATCAGCAATGAAGGGCCTCTTGATCAGCAGCGTTCTACAAGGCTCCCTCGGTGAGCTTCTTACTCAGCAGCTGCCGGTGCTCATTTCTATCTTTCAGGTGTAGTGGAGTTCCTGATGGGTGATCTTGTCACAGGTTTCGTCAATACGTTGATGGCAGGCATCGGCATGTGAGTTCACAGTGCGGATATCAGTCTAAGTGTGGGACGTAGGTACTCTACCCAGCCACAGGGGGTATCTTGGCTGCCCAGCTATACCGTTATCTGTTTCATCAACGGCTCTATTCAAGTGAAGAACGGCTCGTAGACTCGGGCATTCAATACTTCACTGTTCAGTTCCTCGGCCTTATCGAACGGTTCGCGTATGGTCATGGGCCTATCTTTGCTGGCGCGGCGCCTCTCATCATGAACTATGTTCATTTGGCAGCGATACTGCACCCTGTCCTTAATATGGCCAGTGTATACTATGGCTGGACCCTACTTAAGGAGCTTAGAGACAGCTATATAGCCGGAGCGACTAATGTGAGGTGTCTCTTATATGGACTACATCCTGCCACTTCTAAGGTCAATAACGTGAGTCCGGATAGGCTAAGGGGTGACGTATCGAGGGTCGACCGCGGCAATATGGAAGGCAGTCTGTTTGGGAATCAAGCCACGAGTTTCCAAGCCTTCTCAGGAGAGGGTGAAGCCAATAGGTCTACTCGTTCATGATCAGCTATGACACATCTCTCAGGGTTCCGTCTTGGTGACAGCTCACCTGGAAGAGTCACCACTATGCCGGGCCAGAGTGTCATGAGAGATACGACGCTGGGCAGTGATCAGTAACGATATTCATTTTGGTTAAAACAACATGATTTGTTATTACAAGCATCTCCCTTGAGTTTCACGGATAGTGAGTGAAGCCCCTTAACTGGAGTAGAGTTGTGATGACCACACTAAAAGAGTAGACAACGGCATAATCGCGGTATGCAAAATGCACGCACGAGCCAGCGTTCCATAATATACACAGTGTGCGGTACGGTTCCTTTTCCAGGCTCAGTGCCTGTTTACTCTCCTTTTATACTCTCTCTTTACGACTTGTGTCACATGTTCGTGAAGTTTCAGGAAAGACGCTCACTCTGTCGAACCCATATGTAGAGTGTTTAATTGATAAGTCTTCTCTGCATCGCGCTGGACCACGATTCTATAGGGGGTTAGTATACTGTCCCGTATATGAAAGGGGAAAATGAGTCTGTTCTCAATCCTGATTTTAACCATGTAGCTGAAATATGCGGGGCTAGAAATGAACCTCGTTTTGTGAGACCAGCTTGACAAAACAATACGGTCTGACTCAGAGGTGGGGTTCTTTTCAGGTTGTTTCTTATGAATGGGGTCTCACTCAAGTAGGAGTGCCCTCCTCCCTTCAACATTGCTGTTATTCCTATGGGTCATCGTCGACCGAGTAATGGCTGCTTCTAGTAATAACTGGGATTTGGGTATTGATAGGGTGTTTTGTTATGACTCTCGTCGTAAAAAAACCATCACAAATTCTGTTAAATCCCCTGCTGAAATAACCCGTCTCCATGACATTTTGCGATGGGTCCCTCCCAGAAGGTTAATGATGAAGAAGCCCCGTCTGTTGTAGCTTCTCTGTTATTATAAGTCGGGTAGGGGAGTAATATTAGAATATATATTGGACACTTATAGTCGGAGCGATTTCTATATTTGGGGCGGCTATGCCACCCCAAAATATGTCTTAGCGCAATCATTTTCTCGGGTGGGGCAACTATGCTAGGTCAAAGGATGCATGTGTTGAGTCTATTTCTTCGGGTGGGGCAACTATGCCACGTCAAGACAGGCATGTGTTGAGTCCATTCCTCCGGTTGGGGCAACTATGCCACGTCAATAAATGCATGTGTTGAGTCCATTCCTTCGGTTGGGGCATCTATGCCACGTCAAGACATGCATGTGTTGAGTCCATTCCTTCGGTTGGGGCAACTATGCCACGCCAAGATATGCCTGGGTAGAATCAATCTCTCTAAACGGGGCAGCTATGCCATCCCAATATATGCCTTAAACTAGCCGGCGTACCCCGCCCGCCCGATCGCCCGCATGCCATCCCACGACGGATATTGTATAATACATCGAATTGGGAGTACAGAGATGGCCATTCATTATTATTATATAATTAATAAAACTATACGCGAAATAGTTTATGATATATAATATATGATTAATGATATATTATATTATTGACACGATATTGGTGTTATATTACTATTAATACATATAGGGGTTGCTCTCACGCAGAATTCCAATCATCGATAGCAGAGTTGGACGCCGTTATTCCTCGCAAGCGGCGTTACTTCGCGGTATTGTCATGAAATTCGCAGTCTTACGTCGTGGTCTTGTGGTATTATGAGGTGTCTCCACATGCGGCATTGCCGGCTTGCCTGGTCGAAACTGATTGTACTGAGGCATATTCTATAGTTCCATCCTTAAGTACCTCGGTCAGAGAAATTCATCCTGCCGAGGACAAAATAAGCCTTTAAGAGATGTAATGTACTAGATTGTGCTATGAGAGTAATCCACGATATTTAACCACCGCGTTGTGCCATACTAGATGCTAGTGGTAGGGCTCGGTGTAGATTAAGAGTCGTATATAATATAGTTGAACTTTGTTCTCGAAGCCTCTTGCTACGTAAGGAGAATTGCTCGTTGTGTAGGTCCTAGGCTGTCATATCCAGTACCACAACGAAGGCTTGGTGATCAACCGTCTGCGTCCAGTGTAACCACGGAGACTAAGCCGAGATGGGAGGAGACTGTGGTAGCTGAAAGAAACCATAAACAGCAGACCCTGGTTGAGGCCGCTCCTGAAAGCCCACCTGTTACCGTCAACGGCTCGATAAGGGAATCTACTGCTACCAATCAGCCTAGTCATATGGTATCGGGTGGTCCTTCTGGTCCAAGAGTAACGCCCTCTTCCCTTGGAGATGGGTCAACGTCCAAAATCGCCCAACCGTCAGCTGGTTTCAAGCATATAGTGTGTCCGACAGCCGAGGCATGTTCTATTTCACTGTCCGTGCCGGCTGGTATAGACTCCACCCTTATTGCCCATCCCACAGATGACACCAGACGTCGCGTCATGTAGGTTCTTGGCCAGAGGTAGTTTGCTCACTGCCATCATCGTCAGGTCGGGGTTTGGGCAAGAGGTTGATTTCGGTCTTTCCGGCATTGAAGCGCGGCGCCGTGCTCCTCCCCAGGTTGATACTCTCATGGCCGAATACGCTTATAGTCGCATCGTAGTGAAGGTAGTACAAGGGAACTTAGCAGTGATTGTGCGGAAGCATAGTTATTGAGCATCTCTGTCTAGGATCGCTGCGGACCGTCATCTCCCTAGTATGCAGTTACTTTTGTAAATATTCGATCTTCAGGTGTTCACTTATGCGCCCTACGCCCTCGGGGTGGGTTCTTATGATCTCATCTTATTCGGCAACAACAGTACCTTTGAGGAGTATGTAGGACAGTTGGTAGTGATGGATCTCAACTACTGCGTTACCGAAGGGGACCATGATACCCTATTTGACCATCTTGTCGCCTACAGTAACGATGTGGCTGCTAATGGTAATGTGTGGAATATTGAACACGGGCTGAGTGTTGAATTCGTGTTCCAACGTAGATCATGGTGGCTTCATCTATCCCACGACACAGCGCCCTGAATCTCCTCGCGGACCATCCGAGCGGACGTCATCACCAATGGTAACTACTACAGACCTTCCAACTTCAGGACCTCCAAATGGTATGGTGTGAGCTAGGAAAGGAAAACCATGAGTGATTGTTCTCAGGGGTTCAACAGCCTAACGATGGGACCACCGAGGGTGATGCTGATTCGAATGCCGAGTCGCCTGATTCTGGGATCGGGCCAGGAGATATAGCAGGAATAGTCTGTGGTGTCCTGCTGGCCGCCATATCGGGTTGCCTCATTACCTGGTTAATCTTCAAGCTATGTCGTGGTAAACAGAGGGAAGAGGAGAGAGACCTAGTCGGAGCTGCTGCTGCTGCTGATGGTGACAACTGTGTCGATTTGGAGTCCGTAGACCCTCTAGAGTCCCTAGACGTACCTGCTCCAACACCCCCCTCTGTGGTACTATACCCTAGCCCAGAACCATCTACTGTATGTTCATCTCCTCTTGCCCGGTCGGAGTACATCAGTGACGACCCCAATATAGACGTGGAGTTACGAAGGGCCGCTGGCCAGGTTCTAGCCGATGTGCGTTGTCCGTCCTTCGAGGAACGTTGAGTGTGTTGCCGGGTTGAGCCGCGCATTTCTTATAGTTCTCGCTCTGCTGCTGCTGTAGACGACACTCTGGCCCTACTGTTCGAGATCTGTTCGTGGTGGAAGGTCAGCATCGGAAGTCGTTGAATTGATAGTTATTTTTGCGGACTGAACTCTTACTTCCTATTTGCTTATGGATCTCTGATATCGTCTGGGCTCGACTGAACCCCCATCCTACTGCAGTTTTTGTATTGTTCTTCCTGTATGTAGTATATTTAGTAGTGTTCCCCTTGTTACCTCTCGAGCCAACGGACACTCTCAATGTTGCTTAGTCTCCTATAGACCTCTGTGGGTGATCTATCGTTCAGTCTTGGTAGGCTTGGTGAGGCTCTGGGTTAGAGTAACGGCACTTGAATATCCATTCTCCAATTCTTACTAATATCTCTTCGTGTTCGTGTAGTTCCTAAGTCATTGTGGAACCTTCTTTCCGTCCCCCTCATTGTCTTGTGTTATGTAGTGGGTAATATAAAACGACGTACTTGCTCTGGAGCATGTTTACCATCGCATACGTGCCAGTATCAGTATGGGTTGATATCAGTGTGATACTCAGCAACTTACTCCAAAAACAGGATGCGACAAGGATGTTTTCTTGCTAGTCTCCACGAACACATGATTTGCCAAATGCCATGATGACCATCGCGGGAGTCTCTGAGGATCCTGGATTCACCCACGTCATGTAGGACAACCCCGCGGACTATTTTCGGTTGACTGTGTGAGCCGTTTCTAGATCTCGTCAATAGACAATATATCGAGTCAGTGATGGTATTGAAGAAGGCTGGGCCGGTGCGAATTCCATTTTGACTCTCGAAAATGCCATGACCGGGGTTCGAACCGGAGACCTCTGCATGAAAGCTGTGTCTGTGTTCGATTGAGTTTCTAAGCTGTGTTTGATTACCTAGCTAGTGTTCCTCATGTCCTCGTAGTCCCTCGCTCGAGGATGCCTCATCATGTTAACGACCATTATGAATAGCTTCCTATACGTTTAAGTCTACGCTCTGTTGTTGGGTTGTCGCGCGCCACGAAATTATCGCTCGTAAGCTTTTCATTGAAAGCCTTTCATGGGGTAGCGTTCTCCTGAACAAGGCCCTGTCTCCTCCTCCTCCCTCGCGGAGCCTTAGTGTCGTGTCGGTAGGACCCTTCGACCCGTTAGCCGTAGAGGGGGTGAGTATTCAAGCGTTCGGTGCGGGCATTCTCGTTTGTGGGGGGAAGGGGTGACGTCACGTCTCGTCAACTGTCTCTCATTGTGCCCTCCTTTGTGAGGAGTGGACTCTCCCTCTGTCTTCAAGTCCAGTAGGCTCTATATTCGTGACCGAGAATAAGCTTGGTATCAGCTTATTGTTCGACTCCTCCTTGAGGTCCATAAAATTGTTGTATTAGTTTCCTTTTTTCCTCATCGTTCTGCTATAGGCAACTATCCTGTCTCAATAATGAACTTCCCAGCCGACAACCTTATGCAGGATTATCGAGACAAGCATTGGAACGATATCTGGATCAAGCCATTGATCTCTGATTCGTCCACTCATGGTTTCAAGGATCTCACTTATCAGGATGTTACCCCCACGTGGTTAACGAAGATACTTTACCCGACTGATTGGGATAACTGGTCACCCGAATACACCAAGTTTACAGTAGCAATGGCAACAACAATCTTTAGCTGCTGATGTTACTCGTTATTTTTTCAGACCCAAATTATGCGTGAGTACTGGTGGGTTTCTTGGGTGGTAGTCGTCTTGTACCTGATCGCCATTCCAGTTGGTCAACGTATTATGAAGAATCGTCAAGCGTTCAACTTGAAAAAGCCACTTGCCTTGTGGAACCTCTTCCTTGCCGTCTTCTCCTTTATTGGTGTCACTAGGACCGTTCCCTTGCTCTTGGCTGGTACCTGGCAGAATGGCCCTCTCTACTTCGTTTGCCGTAATGCTAGTGCTTCGTATGGCACTGGACCCGCTGGCTTGTGGATAAGCCTGTTCATGTACAGCAAATATGTTGAGCTTGTTGATACTGCCTTCTTGGTGTTGAGGAAGAGGAACGTTAACTTCCTTCATTGGTTCCATCATGCTACTGTATTGCTCTACTGTTGGCATGCAGGAGCCTATGAACAGCCTACCGGTATCTTCTTTGCTACTATGAACTATATGGTCCATTCTATTATGTACTTCTACTACTTCCTATCATCAGTTGGTCATAAGCCTAGGTGGGGCCTAACTGTTACCATTCTACAGATCTCACAAATGTTTGCTGGTAGGCAACGTGGTTCAACTTCAACTGTTCATATCTCCTCCCTTTTTCAGGCATGTTCGTGGTAGCCGTGCACTACTACTCTATCTCACATGTTACCAACTGTGACGGCGCCTATGAGGATCTAGTTGCCGCCTTCTTGATGTAAGTCATAGTAAGTGTCGTTGTTGATACTTACCTCTCTATTGCAGGTATACGGCTTATATGCTCCTCTTCGTACAGTTCTTCGTTGGACGTTATGTGGCACCTAAGAAGGATGCCGTGAATGCTTCGAAAAAGTCAAACTAGTTGAGGGGATGATACTCGGTGTTTTTTCATCGGATACCGTCCTTTTATTGCAAATACTTGTTTACTGTCACTACTACTGATAGATCAGCAGTGATGGTAGCGCCTATTGGTTGGGCCCAGTAGGTATGTGAATTATACGGTGGAGGAGGAGTTGTTGTTGTTGTTGGTATTCCGGGCAACTGGTGTGGTAGGAATAGGTTAGGTGGAAGTGTCGTTCTACCATGCCTTGATGATATTACCACGTTATTGTTGTTGTCGCTGTGGACTGCTGCTGATCAACTGTCGTGGTTACTTGCAGGACATATTACTACTGCTATAATGTTGTAACTATCGCTACTACTACCACTACTACTTCCACTACTAATACAAACTATATAACATACAATGCTTCTGTCTTGTCCAATCGAGGCATAGTTAGTAGCAATTCACAAGAGTGTTGGGTTTACAGTTGGTCCTTAGCCCTTGGGAGGGAGGAACTACTCCATTCGTCATCAGCTCAGTGCGCCCCTTCACTAACCTATCGATAATGATCGAACTGCCGTTTGATAACATCATGGACCGGTCCCCTGAGGTCTGGACTCAGATGTGGACTCGTGAAGAAGTCATCAATCAAAGTTCTTATGGTTTTACGGATCCGTTATATACTGAGGCTCTGCCCGAATGGACTATGCCATACATTGGTCCAGCGGCCTGGGAGGACTCCGAAACGGCCTTAGCTAAGATGGTAAGTAAATTTCCATTGGAGATATCATGCGTATAGTTTGATGTTTAGACGATGTTTATGCGCCATTATTGGTGGTTGTCTTATGTAGTGATCGGACTATATCTGATCGCGGTTCCTACGGGCCAACATGTTATGAAGAATCGCCAGGCATTCAAATTGAAGAAGCCGCTAGCGCTGTGGAACCTCTTCCTCGCTGTCTTCTCATTTACTGGTATGTTACGTACATTACCTCATCTTCTCAATGGAACTTTCACGAATGGTCCTCTCTACTTCGTCTGCCGTAACGTTGGTGCTTCGTATGGGCCTGGCCCCACGGGCATTTGGGTTGGCCTGTTTATTTTCAGCAAGTACATTGAGTTAACGGATACTGCCTTCTTGGTGTTGAGGAAGAGGAACGTTAACTTCCTTCATTGGTTCCATCATGCTACTGTATTACTCTACTGTTGGCATGCAGGAGCCTATGAACAGCCTACCGGTATCTTCTTTGCTACTATGAACTATATGGTCCATTCTATTATGTACTTCTACTACTTCCTATCATCAGTTGGTCATAAGCCTAGGTGGGGACTAACTGTTACCATTCTACAGATAGCTCAGATGCTCATCGGTGAGTACCCCTGGAGACCCCGAATAGAAATATGCCGATTTCAGGTATGTTCGTGGTGGCCATTCACTACTACGCCTTGAGGACAGTTCCTCGTTGTGATGGTGCTACTCAGGACCTCTCTGCGGCATTTCTCATGTACTGCTGTCAATCTCCTTATGATCGATTCTCATCCATTCAGGTATACGGCCTACCTTATTCTTTTCGCGCAGTTCTTCGTGGGTCGTTATGTATCAGGAGGAAGCAAGAAGGCCAAGAAGGAGTAGTCAGGACAGTTCATTCCTTCGTCAGTCAGTGGCATTCCAGCGATACTATTATATACTCTATATGACTCTGCCTTATTATGCTCGTCCTCCCCTCTCACTCCAAACAGCACCCCAAGTGACCGCCGTCCATTGGAATGATATAAATCACTATAGCTAGGCATAGCGAGTTGTAGTAAGCCATTCGTATTTAATACACACCTAGAGCGGTGCTCATGGGAAAGAGTCTCTCCTAAATCTTCCTCCAGTTATTATCATTCCCCATCGCATCCTCTCACCATGTCGAGTTACGTGGTCAATTCAGATAAGGGGAATATACAGGGCGGGTATGAGAGTGTCATCGATAAAGGCATCTGTGATAGTCTCTGATATATCGATAATACTTTGTCGCATTCACGGTGTGAAGATGCATATGTGCAGCTGTTGTTCGCTAAGTCGAGCTGGATGGTCGTAAGTCGAGTAGCATCCGTAGTGCAGGATCCGGTATAGAGATCTAATGGGGATAGGGCTAAAACTCATGTGGTGTATATGATCCTCTTAGTGGACGATAGTGTTGGTCAAGACATTACGGTTTGGTGATCATTATAAATGCTCACTTTGTCGCTAGTTAGAGCGGGCCTGTCCGAACAGACCTATGCTGTTTGGTAGTGATAGTAGTATAGTAAGAGGTAATGATAGTAGTAAGATGATAAGATAAGAGGTAGAAATATAGATAAGATAGTAGTAAGAGGCACCCCGAAAAGGTATGTTGAAGCTACTGGACCGAGCCGCGTAGGATTGCTTCTATAAGCACTTTTGTGAAGTAGCGCGATAGGTTACTCGAGAGTGCCGATCTTGGAAGATGCTGTTATCGCCTGGTGGGTCTACTGCTTGCAATTTTCCTGCTAGCATGATTGAGCGAGTATTCCCCAACATTAAAACCAGACTAGACCCCATCACAGCTGAACTGTTGTTTCAAACGCTGCAGACATCTACTCCACATAGACACAACATCAACCTAGTAGTGCTATAAACATCGTCAACAGCCCTCTGAACATTAGTTTGGACATGTGATGCTGGCAAGTCAGCGACTTCTGCTTCCTCCATCTGCAACTGCGCACACCAACGGCCATGGCAAGGCTCCGTGGATGTCGATTGAAGCCGCTGTTGAATCTCATCCGATTCACGTCGTCAAAGTCCTCGACTGTCAAGCTCTACCTCAATCTCGAAACACCTGTTGAATTTCAATGCATCAAGAGGGTCAACTATCGTCTCTGGCAATGTCACTTTACAAGTCACCTTACGTTGAAGTCTCAACAAAACCGGGAGACAAATATAAACAAAAAAACAAATATACTCGAGAGAGAAATTTCAATTCCGTGACTATTCGTGGTAAAGATGTGTGCCGGGGGGATGTACATGAGAAGGTGACTTTCAACTCAATACGACTGATGTTGAATAAACTGTACCGAGTAATCGTTCACTGAATGTTACGCGAGGAATGGTATCAAAAGGCGACCATTATGACTTCAACAACAGAGAAACGTCATACTAGCGTCATACGAGGACCTCCGAGGCGGAATCCTCAATCACGAAGGTATCGTCAATATCAGTGTAGTCACTGCCAAACCGAGCTGAAGGTGAACACCATGTACACACTCAAGAGCATATACTTCCCTACTTGATCGAGTCCTTCCATAGAGCTGTGGAGCCGTAGTAGCCGCCTTGTTCCTCGCGTCATCCTCGTCGTCCTCCGTTACTAACATTACAACAGTGGCTGCCGCAAGGCTATTCCGTATCGACCTACCCCCCTGGGTCCCGGCTTCTAAGGCCTCAAGATCAGGATGCTCCGGTATTGCTCCCATCTCAATCGACATCCTTCGGTCCCCCACTGGCGATACTCTCGGCGTCCTATATCGAAACTAGCCCCCACGTACCAACACGATTGAGTACTTCTTTGCCGACACCATAGCAAAGTCCTGCTTCTGCTCATACCACCGTAGGAAGCCCAGTCGCCTCATGATACGGGGCGTTCGAATGTACCTACGATTGCTAAAGTGAGCAGCAAACTCTCAGTGCTAATCCTTACATGTGGTACAGCCCCCACTGTTTGGTCACTATAATGATGGCCACTAAAACATCTACAGTGTAGTGAAAACGCGTCGCTACGATGACAAAATACCTACAAAACAAGAGGGGCGCAGATCCATGCCGACCCCCTGGGGCCCAGACCTACCCCAGGATAGCAGCAGCCCACCAGAGTACCGGCAGGAGCCGGCGGAATACAAAATGCAACAGGGAGCCTCCCCGATGGCGCCCACCTATCTGGCCATGGTTACCACCCTCTAGAGCTGTATACCCTCGGGCAGCTGTTCACACAACATCAGTAAACGACTAACATTGAATAGACGTACTTGCATCTACTGCTAGGAAACCATAGCCGTACTCAGTCCATATAAGGGCCATCAGAGTGAAGTTAGCTGCGTGTCCTGTAATGGTAAAAATCGAATGACACAATGCTCCTACTGGTACTACCCGAGAAAAGGATGTCCCCACACGTGAAGCGGATGCCCAGCACAATCTTGACAGCCTCTAGCAGGACCTAAAGGGCATGGGGTCCATAGTGGGCGAGGAACCAAGCGGCTTACATTCTCGTCCGGACTCGAAACGTTAACACATAGTTGGTAAGGTGGTGGGAGCAATGTTACAATAATAGTTGCACTCCGTAACAGAAATACTGAGCCCTGGATCGCCAGGAAACGGAGTATCTACCAACGACGACACACGGGCTCGAGGGGCGTAAGATAGAGACTCCCCTTACCACTTTCCGTCGCTTCGGGTGGAGTAATAAGACCTGAATAGTGACCATTACTGCATTCGTATGTTATTGAGATTCTTGCGGGGCATTCCAAGTATGAATAGTGGTATTTCACAGGTACAAGTATAAATGGAGAATGAAAAATTATACTACTTTTTACACGATCATTGACTGCCTGTCGGACCCGTCAAGATTGTGGCACAGAGTGAGCTCAGCCCCTCCGTGAGCCTCGATATAATAGTGATAATGAGTAATAGTCGTATATAGTCATAGTTATATATAGTGATAAATACTTAGTAAAATAAATAGTAATATATTTAGTGATACAAGAGTAATATATTTAGTGATATAAGAGTAATAAATTCAGTGATATAAGAGTAATATAAGAGTGATATAAGAGTAATATATTTAGTGATATATAGTTATTTAGTTATAAAAGATAATGATTGGAGATGTGAACCGTGAAAGGTAGCTATTCAGAAGTACTGTCATTATCAGTACTGCTGTCACGTTAATGAATATCCTTTATACGAATGATATCCCCTTGTCTGTCCCCATTACCGGAACCATAGTTCCCACCACAATGGCGATATTCCAGAAGTCGGCAAGGTGTGGTATCTCAATATGCGGGAGGAAATAAAATCCCAGGTCCGGTAGAAGCTCAGGGACTCGGCCGTGGTAGTGCTCGTTTTGGAATTTATCGACGTATATCTAACCGTCACTGATGCCTCTCAGGAGAACACGTGAATATCCCCTACCTGGGAAATGCAGTTTACGTACGCACAAGCTGCCATCCAAAGGCACCCCGCGACCAACTGCCAACCTAGAGGAGAGAGATTCAATGATGAGTGATAGTGAATAGTAGTACATGCTAGTTGTTTCATAGGTAGAAATATGAAGTCGAATAGAGCACTGTGTGTAGGTTGCTGCTGCAGGTGCTGCCGGCCACTGAGGTGCTGAGTACCATCCCTCATAGTAAGGGGCCGCCGACTTGAAACGCTCAACTGTTTAACACAGGTTCAACGAAAGAGCGACGGCAACGAGGAGAGGCTCGCCTGTGGTGAAGATATAAATCATATGCATATAACCAGTAGTAGTCGATTTGAAACTTTGTGTTATGATGAGTACCATTCGTTAATGTACTCAAAGGCAATGCTGCCGGCTCCAACTAACGATGAAAGTTCGGTTTCATGCACGGGTTCACGCTTAACCAGTGTGGGAAAGTGCGCACATGGTCAACTACATGTGTTGGTGACAACGACGAAATTCTTGTTTATTTCTTTACACTTCTACCCAAAGTCGTATGTGAACTTCTACATTACGTGAGGAGACTCTTGAGCTCAGCCGAGGCGAACACATATTCCATCAAACAGATGGTGACGATGATGCACATTGGCGTTGCGGAAATCCAAGAACTTTCAGGATTTCAAGTAGGCGTTTATAAGCGTG